CCCCCCCCCCACATGCTCCCAATTTTCTCAGGATGTCTTGTCTATTTCCCCTTCCCAGGGGGATCCATGTGTGTTTCTCTTAGGGTCCTCCTTGTTTCCTGGCTTCTCTGGGCTTGTGGACCTATAGGTTGGTTATCCTTTGCTTTATATCTAATAACCACTTATGAGAGAGTATATACTGCATTTGACTTTCTGGGTCTGGGTTACCTCACTCAGGATGGTTTTTCTAGTTCCATCCATTTGCCTGAAAATTTCAAGATGTCATTGTTTTTTGTTGTTGTTGTTTTTCTGTTTTTGTTGTTTGTTTTGTTTTTTTTCAAGACAGGGTTTCTCTGTGTAACAGCCCGAGCTGTCCTGGAACTAACTCTTGTAGACCAGGCTGTCCTCAAACTCACAGAGATCCTCCTACCTCTGCCTCCCAAGTGCTTGGGATTAAAGGTGTGTGCCACCACCACTCGGCTAAGATGTCCTTGTTTTTTACCTCTGAGTAGTACTCCATTGTGTAAATGTACCACATTTTCATTATCCATTCTTCAGTTGAGGGGCATCTAGGTTGTTTCCAGGTTCTGGTAGGGCCTCTTCTTTTATAAAAATGTATTCATGGTCAGATAGGTGAATCTCTGAATGACCCAGATCCATAATATTTGGTAAAATGGCTCAGTGGGTAAAGATACCTGCCACAAAGCCTCATCACTTGAATTCTTAATTTTCATTTTTTAAAAGATTTTACTTGCTATTTCTATATTCATTTAATAGGTTTTGATCAAATTCACCCCATCCATTCCCTTCCAGTTCCTCTTCTATCACCCCGTCACCACTTTCCCTTCCCAGGATTGCCAATAGCTCCTTAGGTGAGTGTGAAACATCAGGAGTCCATCCCCCACCCCCATACTGGGATATGCTGGGACTTTGGCTGGCTGGATTTTGTGCAAATCTTGTTCAGACTCTCCCAGTGTCTGAATTCATATGGGCAATTGTACTCTGATGACCTGTATTTAATTCCTGGGATCCACTTGTTGGAAGAAGAGAACCAAATCTTGCAAATTGTCCTCTGAACTCAATTTAACACACACAGACACACAGGAAGAAAATAAAATATCAAATGATTGAAGTTCTTTTCTTTTTCTTCATTCTTGAGTTTTTGCTGCACTGGTTGCCTCTACTTCCTGAGTGCTGCGATCAAAGATATGAGATTGGCCTAGCAAAGAAAAAATTTTTTTGAGAATTTTTTTAATTTCTTTTTAATTAAAACTGGCTGAAAATAGCTATGTGTGATGTCATATGACTTTAATACTCAGTGCTCCAGAGACAGGGTTTCTGAGTTCAAAGCTATCCTGTCCAGGATAGCCACGGCCATGGTCTCAAAACAATGCATGACAGTGGTGGCACACACCTTTAATCCCAGCACTTGGGAGGCAGACACAAGTGAATCTCTGTGAGTTAGAGGTCAGTCTGGTCTACAAAGTGAGTTCCAGGACAACCAGGGCTGTTTGACACAGAAACCTTTGTGAAAAAAAAAAAAAACAAAACGAAACAAACAAACAAAATAAATAAATATAAACTTGGAGACAGAGAAATGACTTAGTGGTTAAGGCTTGCTGTTCCTGTAGAGAACCCGGTTTGGTTCCCACGACCCACAGTGGGTG